ATCACACAAGTCCATTGTGTTTCAATTGTGTATCAACGTAAAAGCTAATGCACATTTTCATACTCGCCGAGCATAGACAGTAGGCACGAGTATGAGCATGTAAACGCCTTGTTCGAACATAACATAAACATAAACACTCACGCCTGTCACCCAGAGGGGTAGGCAGAGACTACAGACTTCCATTTGTCACGATCCTGACACACCTCTCTTGCCTCCTTCACATCCATACACCTACGCATACATGCTCGTCGGTTAAGGGTACTCCTAATTTGGCCCGTTTTCAATAAATCGCCAATTTGGTCGATAAATTTTCGCCTAGGACGTCCCTTTCCGACTCTTCCATTCACTTCTGCACCATAAATTTTCTTTGTCACTCTTTCCTCATTCATTCTTTCCACATGACCAAACCACCGAAGCATTCCTTTCTTAATCCTGGTCACAACATCATCTTGCAAACCACACTCTTCTCTTATTACACAATTTCTTACCCTGTCATTCAGGTTCAGCCCTAACATACTCCTTAACGACCGCATTTCTACTGCGTTTATTTTACTCTCGTGCTTCTTCTGCCACACCCAACTTTCACTACCATACGTTAAAGTAGGGACCAACACAGCATTGTGAATTGCCATACGTGCCTTTTTCGACACATTTTGACTCTTCACAATAGAGTGCAAGGCCCCATTTACTCTATTTCCCGCATTCACTCGTCGTTCTATATCCTTATCATATCTCCCATCCCTGCTAAATACGCAGCCCAAATATACAAACTCATCTACTTGCTCGATCAACTCCCCTTCTATTCTTATTTCACAAATCGTTTTACTTTCTTCTCTTTTAAAAACCATAACCTTCGTCTTACTTGCGTTCACTTTCATACCCCTTTCTTTTAATGATCCGTTCATTAATGTAACCATCATTTGTAACTCGGCCGCCGACGACGCAAGAATAACTTACACGTACAAAAGGCATTTAACGATTAACTCACCCATTCTTAATCCGCATTCTTCAACTTTCAAATTTTGCAAACAACTGTCCATAAATAGGTTGAACAGCCACGGGGAAGCCACACAGCCCTGTCTGACACCTTTATGTATGTCAAACCAGTCCGAGTAGACCCCGTTGATCCTAACACAAGCACTAGAGTCCCTATAAAGAGACTCCAATTCCTGTATCAAGCCAGCGCTCAACCCAAATGAGTTCAGTGTTTGCCATAGCAAATCCCTATCCACTCTGTCATAGGCCTTTTCCAAGTCCATGAACGCACAAAAAACCTTTTGGTTTTTGGCCAGAAACTTCTCCGCGATCATGCGCATGGAAAAGACTTGATCTGTACAGCCCATTCCCTTTCTAAATCACGCTTGCACATCCCAAATTTTTCCATCAGTTTCTTTCATGACCCTTTCAATCAGTACCTTAGCATACAGTTTTCCCACAATGCTAAGAAGGCTGATGCCACGGTAGTTTTTACAGTCCTGCTGCGACCCTCTTCCTTTATATACTGGGACTATCACGGCTTTGCACCAGTCTACCGGTACCCGCTTCAGTTCCCAGCATAAATTAAACAAGGTGCAGCAGGCCTGCCACCACTTCCTCTCCAGCCCTTAGCATTTCGAATGAAACTCTATCATATCCGGCAGCCTTATCTGCTTTCATGCTTTTCATTGCTTTCATTATTTCATCTATACTGATCTCGCTACCTCTTTCCTCTTCTTTCGGTGTTTCTACTTCACTTAGTACACACGTTGTCTCCACGCTCATAAACATGTTTTCAAAATATTCCTTCCATCTCTTTAAACTCAAAACTTCATCATTCAGAATATAGCCATTCTCGTCTCTTATAGCATTCATCATAGGCTGTTTTGAATGTCCCCTGGCAGTACTTACAAGTTTCCAGAACATTTTAATATTTGCCTGGAAGTTATCCGATATTCTTCTATCATTCTTATCCGTTCTTTCTTGCTTTTTTCTTTCAACTACTTCTTTTACTCTCTTATTAAAATGTCTAAAGACTGCCTTTTTTCTTTCAATATCACCATTCGTACCACTAGAATTAGCAGCCTTTGTTGCTAGTAAATCTAGCCATGCTCTCTTCTTTGCTTCAACTTCCATACGTATCTCATCATCCCACCTTAACGTATTATTTTTCCTTTCATTCTTTCTCTTACTAACACCACATACTTCGGTAGCTGCATCCACTAAACCTTTCTTTACATTTTGCCGTATATTCTCCAAGTCTAACTCCTTCATACATAATTCATCCAAACCACTTATATTTTCTTGCCTTGTTCGAGTGTTCTCTCTACTCCCTGAGCATTCTGTTCTCCATTCGATGTTGGTTTTTGATGGTTTTTTGGCCCGAATAAAAGTAATGCTCGTGTATATTCATATCGGTGTTTACATATTCGTCATTATTCACTTGATTTGCTTTTAAACTTAATTTTTCTTATAAAATAATTTAAAAAATTATAATACCTACCTACTGTGATAGATTCGAGTAACGAATCCACTATTTTTATAGACCTTTATCAAGGAGAACCCATGATATGGGGTCCTAGAAATAGGTTTTAAATAAATATGAAAGAAAATAATTATTTCATCATCATCATTCCGGCCCCTCACAAGTCTAGTACTGAACATAGGCCTTCCCCAAGTAATGCCACAAGGCACGATCCTGAGCCATCTGCATCCATCGACTTCCTGCATGTCTTACCAGGTCATCGCTATATCTAGTAGGGGTGGGTACTCCACACCGCAAATAATTATTTGTGAGTCTATAAATGTCAAGTAGACATAAAGTCGTGGCAACAAGCTTACACCATTGGGTTGTATGATCTAAGGCAACAAGACGCACGTCATTCATGCTTAAAAGATTTACGTTGAAGAATAAAGACGAGTATGCAAGCGCGATGTACTCGTCCACGAATAACTCGACGAGGTACTAGACTGTGAGGTACTCGACGTGGCTCGTGCCAATAATGTAAACGTGCCATAAAAGCAAGCTACCTACTGAGTACTGAGAACTTTTATAACATCTTTTATATGAAAGTTACTGTATATACTCTTTGTCCATAAATCATACCCTCTCGGTCGTAGACAGAGAAACCTATAGACAAATTGACGCCTTCTTTCGCATTCGCACATGAAAGAGATAGATTTATGCATACGTCTTGCATAGAAATGAGACAGAGCGGTGTGATTGTTTGTCCCTTTCTCCGTGCCGCAAACTACACTTTGCTATGTTTTGTGAGCTTAAGATTGGTGCATCTTGTTCAGTTCAGTTCTTAGAACAATTAACATTTTTATCTAAATGTGTTTAAAAGTCATAAATATTATTGTATAACCTAAAACTACGTTATCGTCCTTTCTCACTCGAGGCCACGCTAATCATTAGACTATAGGCTTCTCTGTCTACACTCTCGGTAAAGAGTAATTGCCAAAGAGAATATAATCACGTTCTGTGTACATAGTTCAAATTTCTGGTTTCTGCTATACTCTTTGGAGACGAGTTGAATTTGTATTATATATCACTTTTAGCCTATATCAAATCTATGTATTGGAAACGAATATCTGATAATGTATCTATATATTTCAATATCTATATATTTGTTAATTTTTTCGTTCTGAAAAGAAGTCAGTATTCAGTATCACATGGTGATACGCGATTTATGAACGCATTTCCTTGCATAGATTTATATATATTGTATTATTTGATTATTTGATATTGTATTATGAATAATCTAAGTATCTTTAAAATCTCATAATATAAGAAGTGACATATAGGTACATATCAATAGGATTTAGCCTGCTAGAAAATAAAATGGAATATTAAATTACCACCTTGAGAGTTAATCAATTTTTGTTCGATAAAATCATTTTACGTATAAAATGAAGTAGATGGCGTGGTGCTATTACAAAGTATTATTTTACTCGTTTACGCCAAAGAATACATTTTTAATTGACTATACTTAACTTCTCAAAATAGTCCCATATTATGCTTGTAAGCGGAGGAGACATTGTTATACTTAATAGGTTTAATTAGTTCTACACAATGTCAAACACTAAACTTGAATTAATTTGTTAAAAAAATGTACAGTATCTACCTAATATCTACGCATCTATATAATATTTTATGTTACACCACTTTTTATACACAAAAATAGTTTAAACTTAAAAAAACTATCATAAAACGAAAAAATTATCAAGTTCAAATTAAAATTCGGTTTTTACTAACGAAAGCGAGCAGAGAAATTACATAAAATATGTCATCTGCATTCAAATTACGCGACGCAATTCACGATGCATGTAAACGAAACTGTAAATAAAATTTAAAAATGGATAACAAGAGCATTTTTTGTTGAAACTCAAAGCACAAGGTACTTCAATGTTTCAATGTCGGTTTCAACTTAAATTTTCAGGTCGTGTTACAAATATTTAAAATTAATTGGATTAAAAATAACATTCTATTAAATAGACTTTAAAGTCGTTGATTTCGAAAACAATGAAACACAACAAAATATTAATAAAATACTACTTAGACTGGATATTCAAAATGATGTGTTCTGTAATAAATCGTATGTTACTACTAATAGGAATTATTATTAATAATATTAGGCGTAAGCGTATACCATTTAGTTGTGAAGTAGTCGTAATATCAGTTTTACCTATGTATTCTATCGCGCTCACGGTTTGTTCGGTATTCTAATCAATGTATATATTTAGATATTTTGCGCTTTCGTTTCGAGTAGATATTAGATATTCTATGATTCAGACATCGCTGGCTGTTGTAATATCTAATATATATTTGGTTTGTGGTCCGATATATCTGATATATAGATATTGTATCTACATACGATTTGTATCGCTCACTCCTATCAGAAGGGCTAGAACCCAGAGCCGTAAAGCCAGTTAATAAAAAAACAATTTATATTTTGATTAATTGTTTTAATTTATGATATTTAAAATAAATGTTTAAAAATTGGATTTTAACTGATGATAAAATGCTAAGTACTATAAAAGAGTTATTGGATGCATTAGGGTAAGATAAGAAATGCAATATAGTATTTTTTCACTAGTATAGGTGCATTATTTGTTTAAATGTTATTAATTTATTACAGATCTAGTTTAGAAGCGGACACTGTTTTGGATTATATTCAAAATGATCCTAATTACGGAAATAGTAACCCTTCTTCCAAGCAAGTTAACGAGTACGCACAAAGATTAGCTTTAAAAGCATCGAATGCAAAAGCATTTTTAAAGAAGTATGATGACTTAAAGAATAAGAAGTAAGTTTTTTTACGCATAGGCATGAACGTTACGGAATATTTTTTAATTTATCAGCCTGTCTATTTTTTTATCTACCTACCTACCTATAATTTTATTCTGCTTCATAATAAACCAATTTTAATTTATGAGTTGTAATATTTTACAGCACTGATAATTTGTCAGATATAATAGTACTATTTTACAAATTGGTCTGTGATGAGAAGAGGTCTAAAATTCATAAACCAAAAGTTGCCCCAAAACCAATATTAGGTGATAACAAACATCAAATTACCAAGGAAGATCTGCCACAGGTATTTTTTATAAGTTAAATAAGCCATGTTTTGTATTATATAAAATATGTAAAATAACAGATTGTATAAAAACTGCTCTTTTAATTTTATTTTTAAACATTTTCTTTAGAAACAATATTTTAGTGGAAAACCATAAAACATTAATTTTTCCTTTAGATAAAAGATAAATTACTTAAAGCTGTTGATGAAAGCAAGAAGTTAGTTATGAAGTCATTTGAAGAGAAAGAATCAAAACTTCGACCGAATTGGTATAACAGTTTAGACTTGCCGAACTGGCAAAAAGATCATCCAGCAATGTCATGGGATTTTCCAAAGGAACCAGTTGCAATTATTGCTTCATTAGGTAAGTTGAGGTTATCTATTTTCTTAAACTTAGCTTAAATGGTAAGTGGTTACTGCAGCCCATGGACATCCGGAACTAACTTCATACAAAGAATGCTTTGACACTACTGAGTGCTAAGATGGCATGCTGCACAGCCCGTAATTATACTGCCTCTATACCCTTACTGTTGCTTAACAGCGGAAATAGGTGAGGTTGTGGTGCCTATCTAGACAGACAGACTCCTAGGTAGAAAAGAGAAATCCTGTCGACTAGACTATATTTATATAGCTAGTTACTTAGCCTATATCAGTCAACTTTTGAAGGCCAATAAGTTTTTTCAGTTACCTTATACTTTTTCATTCTTATTCTATACTAGAGATGTACCGAATATAGATTTCACCGAATACGAATATTCGACTGAAAGTTCAATAAAACTTTTACCGAACTGAATATTTGGCTGAACATTGTTCAGCAGGATCACCTCGATACCTAACCAATTTATGTCGAAACTTGTTACCATAAAGCGCGCGGGATTAGTGCAGGACCTTACCCTCGCTCCCCTGCCACACCAGACAAGTTATAGCATCATATAATATTGGGCAAACTGGCGGCACATACTATACATGATTTTTGTGAGAAAAATAGTATTTCATTGTGTTATTATTAGTGAAAATTGATAATTATATGATAAAAAAGAGTGGCAGGAGATCTACGATTTGGACTTATTTTAGAGAAACTGATGAGTAAAATGAAATGTATTAATGTAATGTAATATTTCTTTGTTTGATTCCAAAAACATTTTATCAAGTTTTCTATTTGCTATAATTGGAAATAAATCTACAGTGCCTCAAAAACATAATGCTATACAAGTAGTTCATTGTGCATCTGAAAAAAATATAGTTCTGGGTTAAAAATCTGGGTTATAAATTTTGTTTTTATAAATTAAGTAGTTAAATTACAACGTTGGTTGTATCATAACGTTTATTCGCGCTTGATAGAAATGTTTTTGCAATGATGTACTGTTTATTTAAGTTCTAATTGTGAACACTTAAATAGCTCCAATCGCTCTTTTACTACGTTCTAATGCTAGTCTTGCTTTTGTAATGCATTTAACATCTTAGTTATCAATAATATTGGTAGTATAATGCTTGTGTAATGCGACTGGCAACTTCATTAACCATAGTGATGCTCCTTGTTTAAAAGTATTTTGCTAGATGCATGTAAAATTAAAATTATGAAGTAATAATAGTCTATGCAGATGGGTGCATACTGCAAATCTCAATAAGTTGTGGGTTTCAAATCTGCCATTTGACTATACTGTCATGAACCATTACTACCACAAATATGTAGCATAAGTATATATAAGTAGCAGAGTTATTTGTAGTGGTTAATGCAAATATTAGTAGTGTTAAGAGCTATGCTAGTGTTATTTTTTATATAACTTAACAGTCCACCTAATGCTAAATTGCTACTCCAGTCCATAGACAGCATCAGTCAACTACAAATAAAAAACGCTACAGATGTTCGTCACCTCTGAGGACTGCTCTCGGCTATACTCTCTGTACCCTTCCAGACTGGAACAGCAGTGCAAGCAGTGAGACCTTCTCTTACGAGTCTCATTACCTACAAATACAGTGGACCCCTGGGCATCTGTCCCCCTTGTAATCCCACATTTCTTTAACTTGTAGGTAGTTTCGAGTCACACTATGAATCCACCACAAGGGAGGTATCCTTCATGAATATGTGGACAAACAAGTTACAATTAGTTCGCACCACCACAAATCTAACTTGACGCATATTGTCTCAGCTCAAATGTAACTATGGTAGCGGCCTAGCATTTTTACATTTTTAATTGTTATTATTTTATATTTGATATTTAATCTATCGGAGTACTCTTTTTCAATCAAGGTATTCTTTTTCAATAAGGTCTGGACCACCAGGGGGCTGTGGCAGTACTCTATAGTCCGACAAATTCGATAATCCGGTGGTATGTCTTGCAAAACGTTTGTTGGATTACCGCAATTCAACTGTAAAATAAATTCTTGTTTGTGATTATTAGTTTGTTTGTATTTGACTATCATATTTTAATTTACAGCTGGAATACCAATAGCATCACAAGAAAATATAATCATAGATGAACTCCTCTATATTTTTTCTGGTGTACCAGGCAATTACATTGTGCACCAACGTGTAAAAGACACATTTGACCCTCGAACATTTCTAATATCTGATGATTTGGATGATGCATTGAAACAGATGGTGCAACAGATGCTGCCTTTAGCATCTAATTACTCCATAGTAAGGAGATTTATAGAGCACTGCAATATGTGGTCTGGTCAAGTGTTACATGCCTTAGTCTCTGCAATAGAGATTTTACTGAAAGACTATTATGTAAGTATATAAATTGTTATTCATATAAACCACTATAAGCTCCGAATATTGTTTTCACTTGAGCTTAATGACAAATGTTTAATAATTTGTTTGCTTTTAGACAATGATAGCACAATTGGAGACTGAACACATGTCTGGAAATTTATCACTGCAAAAACTTTGGTATTTTGTTCTACCCACTATGCATACCATGCAAGTATTAGCAGCCATTGTAACAAATATTGGAAAGGTTAGCTTGTATTTTTTCTTTTATGGTGCTATAAATTGGTGTGGTTTAAAATTTTAAGTTATATTAGCATTTACGTTACAGCCCTTCAAAAGTCCACTGTTGAACATTGGCCTGCCCCATAGATTGCCTCATAGGATTACTATAGTTGCCAGCCACCCTTGGCAGGCAGGTAGGCAACCGCAGCTTTTAATTATTTTGAACTGTTATCAGAAAGATGCTGATGCTCATCTTCTATTTCGATTTTCCTCTGTCGTCTCTTACGACAGCCATGGGATGATATGGGATAGTTAGATTCTCTGAACGCACATTTGTCCGCACCATATGAAATCAATCATATGAAACCTCGTACATTGCTGCCGCACCGTACGCGCCGCATTTTATAAAATGTGGTAGGTATCCGAATACTGAAGGAGGGATGCTGATGACGTCATATAATGCGGCGCGTTCGGTGCGTGCTGGTACTCAGTATTGTCTAATGTTGCCAACTTAGTGGATTTTCCACTAAAACTGGTGGTTTTGACTTTCGTTTTGAAATGTATTTTTACCTCATTTCAGGAGTATTTACTTTTATGGTCTAGGCAACAATGAGTTGTCACAGAAGAATTTTATAATTTTTTATTAATTCATAATTAAAAAAATTCAAATTACGTTAAATTAATTCCTTCTAAATCTTGAGTTTTACCATAAAGAGATATGGTTTTAGTATATTATGTAGCAATTCTTAAAATTGCTTATATGTTACATGCAAATATATGAAAAATTTATCATTATCATCTAACAAGTCTTTAAATAAAGTATAATATTCTACATACAACTGCCTTTTAAAATTAATATTATGAATCCAGAATCTTTTTTTTTTTCGAGTTTAATTTTCTTCCTCTGCCAATAAGCTGGCTATTACAACAATTTTTTTCATAGCGATCCGAGTGATCAATGTCACTTTACTGTTACATACACAGTGGTTGGAAAAATTGCAAAAGTTGTTGGCAATACAAAAGAACAAATGCGGACAAATGTGCGTTCAGCTTAAAACTATTATGTTAGTGAAATTTTTATTTATCTATAATTTATATAAACATAAAGGATTTCCTTTTCATGGTATAAGAGCGAGTTACGAGGAGGCGCTGTCTTAACTGTTCTTCATGATAAAACGAGTACATTAATGGGTGATGGCAGGGCACAAGAAATATCATTATTTCTAACAGAACGAGCTTGTCGTCCATATCTGAGTATACTAGACCAATGGATACATAAAGGCACTATTGTTGATCCATTTCAGGTATTTATATTTGTGTTATTAACTTTTACATCATTGTCATTACAGCCTGGCAAATTCCACTACTAACATAGGCCTCTCACATTGACTCATATCTGCCATAGTTGCTGTGTTGTAGGCGGATTGGTAAGTGCAGATTTTTTTAATTATTTTAATTTGTTACCAGACGACAACCAGGGGATGTAATGTAGTGGATTTTCTTCCGTCGTTAGTATACGGCACTTCACTTAAGTTTTTTACTTAAAACTTTTTCTGAGAAAATAAGAGAACAATACTCTTGCATGATCCTCATCTTAATCTAAAAATGAATAATAAACAGATGTAAAGTTTAGTTTTATATGATTAATTTTACTCATTTTACTTTGTATCTTACGTGGTAGAGCCATGTTGCAGCTATATTGTGGTTGCAGCATGAATAGGTCGGCTCGACCGGAGTAGGACCACGCTCTCACAAAATAGCAGCTTAATACTGCTGTGTTGTGGTATGGTGCTGTATTTCGTATGGTGAGTGAAACGAGGCAATTCATCCCAGTCCGCAGAGCTGGCAACGCATCCGTATTTTGATTTTTAATTGAAGATAAATGTAGATGTCTATGGGCTACAGCATCCACTAACATGAGGTAGACTGTGTGCTCGTTTATCACCCTTATACTATTAAAAAATCTAACTCTGTAAATCCATATACCGGGCTTCGCGATTCATTCTTCCTCTTATATAAACTGATATTCAGTAATTATTTACTGTTTTACTATTTTTATAGTTAAGATATTTGCTGTTATATGCCTGATGTAAGCCCACTAGCGAGATAGCTGACTGTCTCCACTAGTCGATCGTGTGCTGATTAATAGTTTGTGCACATTCGCGCAATATATATTATTCTTATAACTTTATAAGCCTACCCTAACTGTTATAGCTAAATAGGTATTATACGCAAAAATTCAAACATTATCTCGTTTCATTTCAAAGTTTAATATGGCAAACTGAGATTTTTCTCATCCTAACTAAAAATAATATTAATTTGTACTTACTTTAACACAAATGTTAAATCCGGCTAGAATTCTAATCCAGGACTCGCGGCGTATTATTAGTCTAAAACTATTTACTTTTGCTCTAAGTCGAAATAAAAAAAACAACTGTTAAATAAAACGAAAATAAAATTCTCAAATACGCGAAAGTATAGACTTGCGCACACATACGTGCACGCAACGCATATGTATTTATTTTATTATATTATATTATACGCAAGCATGTCCGCACACATGTAACTTTGTCACCTTACCTTACAGTCCTCTGTCGCTGTTATAACTGCTTAAGAGCAATCTGAAAAAAATTATTTTTTTATTATTACATTCCATTGTGATGGTGATGACGATTATTATGATGATGTCTTTAAGCCTTAATTTCAATTAAGGTGACAATAAGGTTACAACTTAACCGAATACAATCGAAAGTTATCGACAACACAGGAGATATTATATCAGATCGGTATAGAAGAAGCTAGAACTGTTAAAAATAACGCTTTTACAAATTATGCTTATTTTCTTTGAAATCAATGAGACAAAAGAGAAAAAAATATTTCGAAGACATGTGAAGTAAATTAAAAAAAAACGTTCATCAACACTCATTGGGGCAGCGTGGACATTTCCTTGACCAGAACCCTCTCAGAAATGAGAGGAGGCCTGTGCCACACATCTTCAATAAGATGACAAAACAGTCCAACTAGGTCGCATGATAAATGTACTGTTTTTGGTTAAATTGCCTCGTAAATTTGGACAGTTTTCACTTAGGCTTACATGCTTTTTATTTAAATCCTTTTATAAAATTAAAAACGCTAACGATAATTTAAATTTGTTTAATACACAGACATAAATCTGTCTGTGGTTATATATATAGGTCCCATAACGGTAATGCCGAAACAGATCGACTTTTCGACCACGTCAGAATGGCTACAGATTCGTTGCTACAGCAGATCCCCTCCGCAGAGATCGTGATCCTCGGCGATTTTAACGCCCATCACGCCGAATGGCTTGGTTCACGTTTAACCGATTATGCGGGGAGATCTGTTCATGATTTTGTCTTGGCATATGGTTCCGGATGTGGAGGATCATGCACCTTCACTGTTGGTTTCTGCTGACCTCTCACCCGGACGGATATCAGATTTCCGTCGAAGCCCCTTTAGACTCCTCGGACCATTGTCTTGTCCGGAGTGTGGTGCCAGCCACTCACGCTGAAATCGCAGTTGCATTCTGCAGGCTGCCACCGTGTTTGGCACTATAGGTCAGCCGATTGGGATATCATGCGATCTTTCTTTGCATCCTACCATTAGGGGGCGGGTTTGCTTCTCGCCGGACGATCCCAACTTTGTTGCGGATTCTGTCGCTGATGTGGTACTTCAGGGTGTGGAACTTTTTATTCCTTCCTCTGTGGTGCCCATCGGAGGCAAATCTCAGCCATGGTTTGGTCGCTTCTGTAAAATAGCATCATGCTATAAGCAGGAGTGCTACCGGGCCTGGGCTGACGCATCAACGTCTCGGAATGTAAACACCAGCGCTCTACAAAATAAGTATAATTCCGCCTCCAGGTCCTTCAAAACAGTCATTGCTAAGGCAAAGTCAGAGCACATAGGCAGAATTGGCGAGAAGTCAATCCCAAAAGAAACAGTCCCAGTCATGGAAGACGGCTTTCGTCCACCCGTCAGTCCCGTCCAACTACAGGCCTATCGACATCACCTCCTTGTTCTCCCAAACAATGGAGTAAATTGTAAACTGCCAGCTCATGAGGTACCTTGAGGATCATCAGCTGATTAGTGATCGCCAATACGGTTTTCGCCGTGGTCGATCAGCTGGTGATCTTCTGGTCTACCTAACTCATAGATGGGCGGAGGCAGTAGAGTCCAAGGGGAGGCATTGGCCGTTAGTTTGGACATTGCGAAGGCCTTCGATCGGGTTTGGTACAAATCGCTACTTTCGAAGCTCCCTTCCTATGGGCTTCCCGAGAAATTGTGCAATTGGATCACCAGCTTTCTTGCAGATCGGAGCTTCAAGGTCGTTGTAGACGGTGCAAGCTCTGATTACAAGCCTATTAATGCTGGTGTTCCACAAGGCTGCGTGCTATCGCCAACGCTGTTTCTTCTGCATATCAATGATATGTTGCAAACCCGTAACATTCATTGCTATGCAGATGACAGCACTGGTGATGCTCTGTACACCGGTAGTGCCAATATTTCTCGGTAAAACGTCTCCGAGTACCGGGACAAACTTGTGTCTGAAGTCGAGTCTTTGCTGAACAGACTCTCGCATTGGGGGCGACTAAATCTTGTCCAGTTTAACCCTCAGAAGACACAAGTTTGCGCGTTAACCGCTAAAAAGAATCCTTTGTCGTATCTCCTCAGTTTCAAGGCACTCCCCTTGTTGCCTCAGCCACTATCGGAATCCTCGGCGTCGACATATCGAGTGACGTGCAGTGTCGTGGTCACTTGGAAGAGAAGGCCAAATTGGCCTCTAAAAAGCTTGGCGTGCTCAGCAGAGCGGGACAATATTTCATGCCCACACACCGCCTTCAACTTTAAAAGGCGCAGGTTCGACCGCACATGGAATACTGTTCCCATCTCTGGGCTGGAGCTCCCCAGTACCAGCTTCTTCCACTTGACCGCATCCAGCACAGAGCGGCTCGAATCGTCGACGACCGAGTGCTTTCCGATCGGTTCGATTCACTGGCGCTGCAAAGCGATTGCTCTTGGCATTTTCTTTCGCATCTACCACGGGGAGTGCTCTGAGGAATTGTTTGGATTAATCCCAGCCGCCAAATTTTGTGAACGCACTACGCGGCAAACGTCCCGATACCATCCACACCATCTGGATGCTTGGCGGTCCACCACTGTACGTTTCACAAGGAGTTTTCTCCCGCGTACAACCTCTCTGTGTAGTTTACCACCGGCGATTTTTCCGGACCGATACGACCTGGGGACCTTCAAGAAAATAACTTACTCTTTTCTGAGGGGCCGGTAACGCACCTGCAATCCCCCTGGTGTTGCGGTTGATCATGGGCGGCGGTAGTCACTTAACATCAGGTGAGCCGCATGCTCGTTTGCCCCCTCTTCTATAAAAAAAATTCTTAATAAAATATATTACTACTTATTTGTATTATAGTAACCTAAGTCTTTTTACAGGAATTTATGATTGAAGACAATGAGTTGGTTAATAGAGAAGAGCTGCCGGTAGATTACTCAGCTGATTACTGGGAAAAGAGATATAGCGTACAAAGGGAAAGAGTTCCAAAGTTTCTTGATAAATTCACAGATATTATACTAAGGACGGGAAAATATTTAAATGTTATTAGCCAATGCGGTATGTGTTATTTGTGGAAATAGTAGATAGTACTCACTTTTTTATAACTTATTCTATATTTGAAATATTTTTCTGATTTAAAGGTAAATCAATAGCAAAAACGAATACTGAAGACATAAAATACTCGCTAAGGGAACAAAACTACAGTGCCATAATACAGAAGGCGTACGCTTTCGCTAGCAAGTCGTTATTAGAACTGTTACTTAAGGAGTATGACTTGATGGGAAGACTTAAATCAGTCAAGAACTATTTCCTGATGAGCCAAGGTGACTTCATTGTGCAGTTTATGGATGCTACAGAACAGGAGTTGTCGAAGAAAATAGATGATATTATCCCATCGAAATTAGAATCATTGCTTGGGTTATGCTTGAGGTAATTGAGCTTTTATAGAATCAGACGTTAATTTGTGGGAATATATTATATTAAAAATCTTAGTAATTAATTTGCTAAAATCGCCATAATGAAATAAAATAATGTGTCTTACCTAGTTTGAAGAGCACCTCCCGCCCTTGCTCAATTGCGTGCACTATCCCCGTCACCGCTAATCCCAACACCACTACACTAGAAAAGACACCACCAGCCGGTAAGCCACCGCAGAGTCTACTTCACCTGAGGATGCCTCGTGTAGAGGCGAAACACGTGTCGTATTAACGACGTTCGTGTGTCGTTCCTAGTGTAGTGGTATTGGGAGTAGTGGTGCTGGAATTAGTGATGACGGGGATAGTAGACGCAATTAATGGGATGGTGCTCTTCAGACTTTTATTTTATCATGCGGATATTAGGAAATTATTTTTTAAGAGATTTAATTGAGCTTTAACAGTGATATTCTAGTTTGTTAAGGCGTTAGAAAATCAAAACATTATCATGATGTTGCATGCTATACTGATACTATGATACTGCAATCAACAATTTTTTATGTGGTAGAGCCATGCTATATCTCTATTAGTAGTATAGTTGTAGCACAAATGTGTCGGCCACATTCTCACTTCTCACAGAATACCAACATAAAATTGCAGCCCAATACTGCTGTGTTTCGTATGGTGATTGTAGAGAACAGGCCTTTTTAATGGACACAAGGCATTTCATCTTTGTCCTCAAGGGTGACAACGCATCTGCATTTTGATCTGATTGAGAATAGATGTAGATGTCTATAGGCTACAGCAACCACTTACCATCAGGAGGACTCTGTGCTCGTTTGTCACCCTTATCCTATAAAAGAAACTGGCCTATAAAGAGGCAATATGTGTGGCTATAAAATATAATGGCCCATCTAGCACTAGACTTATATAATCTTAATGTTTTAACACCGGGCGTTACTATATTTAACCTTGATCAGGGGGGCTCATGTAAGCAAATGTTAATATACATTTTATGGTATCAAAAGAGTACAGTTCACCTTATGGGTAAGTGTATGCTGTGGCCAATGGTCCCCTATATTTATCTTCAGATAAGAATCAAGATAGAGATGTGTTGTCACCCATGAGAATTAAGATGGAATGGTTCTATACAGTATATCCGGTTCTCTAGACTCCCTTCATAAAGCACCAACATTATGCTGTTACTACTCTCTAAGAGTGTTCTCCCACGTTCAAGCCAACCCATTAGTCCTGTAGCCATAACACAGCTGCAGAGTGGCTTGACCATGATTATTAAAGTACATATATGATGATTAAAGTACACATATATTATGTGTACTTTAATCATCCAACAAAAAAGACCAGTTTTTAATTGGATTTTATTTTTAACACTTATGTTGGGTCGGTGTTTCGGATGCATCTATTATATGGTAGAGTCATGCTGCATATATTAGGTTATATGGTTTTAGCACGAATGGGTCGGCGGTAGATCCCATTATAAAATGCTCTCTTAAAATTTCATAGTACCTGAACAAGCTGTCTTCGATTCCTTATGCACCAATTAAATTGTGGATTGCTTTTTTAAGTACTTATTTGTAGGTATAATATATAAGCACAACTACAATACTTTTCTATGACATTTCAGGTTATCAGCGGCAAGTCATGACCCTTACAATGAAGACATGAGAGTGGAACTTTTACCTTACGACTTACAATTTCAAATGTTTAAGATTTTATCAATTGAGACTGAGGATGAAAAAGGTAAACGTAGATAGCAAGTAGGTAAACCTTCAATTAGCAAGTAAGCTGTTTTGGGTGTAAAGGAGAAAATGCCAACTTTTCATATGCCAAACTTACCCTTGTATGCAGACTGATGGTTAAAAACTATTCAAAATTATTGTAGCCCGAATTCCTCAGACTAGTTGAAGGCAGCAGCAACATCAGTGAAATACTGAAAGGTTTTTGGTTTACGTTTGTCCTGCTGCCCAACACGATGGATTTGGGTAATCTTCAGTGTAATGCATTCTTTTCACTACCTCACATCATTCTGTAGATGTCGTAAAAGGCAATAGAGGGAACCTAAAGCAAGAGGTGTGTAACAACTGAATAATAAAAAGACTATGGTTGCCTACAAGTCTGGTAAGTGTGGGAACTATGGCAATATTCCTTCCCATTTGGAGAAGTCAGCAAGGTTTCTCAAATTACAGCCTCATATGGGTAAGCGAAGTACGGGGAACCTCAAATAATGGAGTGACTGGAGGACTCAGAAGACTATGTTCAGTAATGGACTTGTGAAGGGCTGTAATGATGATTATGAATGAATTTTTTGAAGTAAGGTTTACAAATGAGTACTCAGACCACCGGATGGTAATTGAAACGCTAATGCTGATTTTCCTTGAAAGTTTGACCCTTCACCGGTCAAGCTGAGTAGTAGTGGGTCGTTGTCGAATTTATGACAGACGAAACGCAACCTTTTTCTCGACGACGCAAGCGGTTGCAGAAAACGGTCGTCGCTGCAATTGCTTTGAAGATGGCTTAAAGGACAAAAGTTATCCAACCTGGAATAGAATTGCGTTTTCGTCGAGTGAAATGATTGCAGTTTCTTACAACTTGCAATGTTTTGAAATGTATGAAATGGTTTACTAAATAATTAGTTTTATTGATTGACTTTACTTACCGATGAAATGAACTTCCCTTCATACTTTTCCAGGCTTAGGACTGGCTGGGACAGACTTAGCATTACTATTATCATTAGCGACTGTGTTTCATTGACAAAATGTTCACTTTTTATTGTAAAGACTGTTTAGTCTCTGTCTTCGTCGGGTCTAAAGACTACAATATAACGCGGATGGTTAAGGACGACGACGCGACGAGTGAGATAGATAGTTGAATCATTGCGGTCTCGACTGTATTTTCATAGGCGTAAAATAAAAAAAATCGCACCAAGTAATTTGAAGACTGGTTTGTGCAACGAAGACTGTTTGAAGCCAGAACGTAAAAAGGTTTCATCGTCGCAGAACACAAAACGGTCTTTGTAAACGGTTCGTCGTCGCAACGCCCACCCCTAAAGCTGACCCATTTAATTGCAGTCTAATACAGCTGTAGCGTTACATTACCACATGTTATGATATATTATTTGCGGTGTAAGAAAATCTATCAATTTGTCCCGTGTGTGTCGCCAGAGGCGACTAGGGGAAATGCAAGATAGATTTGATGGCTCCATTTAGTTTACGCCACACAATAAATGCTCACTCTGATGACGGGGAGCATTGTGATCGCCAACCTGTTTTCCAAGCGTGGCGATATGGATGAACCTTCTTTCTTCAATTTTACTTTCGTCTTTCCATAAGGAAATTTTTACATATGGAAAAACGAAAATAAAAATGAAGATAACATTGATTGCTGAATGTCCATATGGAACTAATGTTATCTTGTGTTAAGTGACATAAAAGAAGTTAGTTTGGTGTTTGGTGACGTAAAAGAATCAACTACCCTATATCATCCTGTGAATGTTGTAACATGCGACAAAGGAAAACTGTAACAGGAAATGGAAAGCAGCACCTTCGTGATACTAAAAAAAATATATATTAAGTGCTGTAACAAACCCACCAAATAAGTTTGGTAACTATAGCAAATATAAGGCAATCTACGGGGTAGGCCTATGTTCAACAGTAGTCATTGATGGGTGATGATGATAAAGTCCAGCCATAGACTTAAAAGTTGGTAGATGTGTTGTGTTCTGATGAGAGATAGTTTTGGAAGTCAGTAGATATATAATGTATTTAAAATTGTAATTATCTTACAGAATACAAACAAAACAAAGACTGTCCGCCTTTAACTGGTATTGAGACATTCTCATTCGGTATGGAGGTGAAATGGCCGGTGTCGCTTATCTTAAACCATAAGGCAATTGCTTGCTATCAAATGATTTTCAGACATCTGTTCTATTGCAAGCACATAGAGAGATTGCTTTGCAGGTTAGTATCAAAGTTTTATTCACTATTATTACTTATATAAATTTAAACACTTCAAGTGTTGATTTTTATACTATCCCATACTATTAAATTCTTTAATTAAAAAATAATGAGTCAGAAATAATACAGGAGGTACATTTAAGTGAACTTTGCGCCAAGCTTACAAAATTCGTCCACCCTTTGAAAAGAATAATTTCTAACACGTCTGTTAAAGTAGGATTGATTGCATGCTATAGATATATACAAACAATTTTTGCCTATGGTGTAATTTTCTGGGGCAACGCTCCAAATATCGGCAGGGTGTTAAAATGCAAAAAAAGCTCATTAGAGCTATGTGCGGGGCCTCACAGAGTGACTATTACAGACCGCTTTTAAAGAAAATGGTCATTTTGCCACTACCCTGTTTATCTATATAGAGGTATCTTTACTTGTACAGAAATATGAATACTTATTTGAAAAATATAAAAACCCTAGGAAGCCTTTTAAAATAGCAAGTTCATTTTATCCGAAAACAGTACAATACACTAAAAGCAAATCATTTACTGTAATGCCATTAAAATTTACAATAATATTCTTGACACTTAAAAATATGAACAATATTATAAAATTTAAAAAGGTACTGAACACGTGGTTATTAGATAAATACTTCCACAGCTTACAAAAATTTATAGACAGCAAAGATTATAGTAATATTATATTTGGTTAGATTTATTAATTAAATAATTCGAACAAATTATTGAATACTAAGACAAAATTATAATAAACAAGCTATACTTATCCGAAAGTTAGGTATTTTAGTATGGAAAACTGATGTCATATATTGTAGTAACAATTCAATAAAAATTTATGATGACATTATTGAATTAATCTATATATTTGTTAAATATATTGATTATTTTTATAAATAATAATAATTCTTTATTAGATACAGAATTGATATACAATTCATAGATACCCTGAATCCTAAACTAGGTTACCCTGTATATGTTAGGAGGCAGTTAAATATAATTATGACTTACGCCTAAAATAGGTAGACTATGGAGTGTAAATGTACATAACATATTCTTAAGATCTTATTTAATTTTACCTGCAGTCATGCAATAAATATTATTGATTTCATTTGATTTAAAGGTATAGAAAAAAAAAACTATCTCGAAACAGTTTCAAAATCACCTTGGTTTATATGTTACATACCGAAGTGCACTGTAGCTTCCTAGTTATCAGTGGCGGATTTTCCATAAGGCTAACTAGGCACGTGGCCTAGAGGCGCAAGGTTTACAAAAAGCCGCGGAAGTTTTTAAATAAAAAAAATAAGTATGTTAAAGTTACCGCCTATATGCCACGCTGCCCTAAAGCGTGTTGACGAACTTCACATAACTTTGAATATTTTTTTTTTATTTCTCAGAGATGCAGTTTGTTGTAATAAGTATGCACTTACATAAAATAAAAATCATGAGAATCTTGTTTATTACTGCATCGCCATCACCCTCTCATTACATTTTTAATTCACTCCCACATGTTAGGGGTACACACGTCCCAATTATTTTGCAAATTGTTATGGAAGGTGTTCATGTATATATGTCTTGTATGGAGGAGCTGCCGGAGATACATACCTGCAGTTGTACATATATGTGGGGTGGTCGGGAGCCCGACTGCCCGAAGTACTACATTTTAAATTATAATATAGTTTATTTGTTAAATAAGTAGTATAATTTATGCTATATGGCTACCAGAGCGGTATCGATGATGCTAGTCTATGGCGCTGTCGACGTTTAATCCGCCTCTGCTAGTTATGGCAATAAAACCTTAAGGGGGATCCTACGACTAACATTAAATTTACGAGGGCGACACTGAAAGTTTTTAGAATTGGCCACTTGTAAACGATATAATAAAAAAAATAAGTTCAAATTTTGAAAATGGAACTCTTTGCCAATTTGTCATTTGTTTACGGCAAATCGAAAATTTTCTGTGTCGCCTCAGAATGAATTTAACGCGAGAAAATTTTCGTACAATGATTTTTTATGATTTTCGATGTCATTTATGTCAACAAGACATAACTTTCTTGTATACTTGTATAGACGATTGGCCTTTCACGATGAACCCCCATCTCGTGCCACTGTTTATAACTGGTTTAATAAGTTTAAACGTGGTCGCACTAATCTCACCGATGATCTGCGTGAGGGACGGCCTTAACGTCGACGACTGAAGATAACATCAGTATCGCGGGGCGTATGATATATACTGACAAAAGAGTGACTTGTCAGCAGATTCGGACAAGCTAAGGCATCAGTATGAGTCAAGTGCACAAAATTCCCCATGAACATTTAGCGGTCAGGAAGCTTTGTGCCCGGTGGATACCCCATAATTTGAGGCCCAAAAACTCCGTCGTGTTGATTGGTGTCGTGAAATGGTTCAAAATTTTAACGGAGGTGACTCAAATGCTGTGTTCGACATACTTGCGGGTGACGAAAGCTGGATTTATTGTTATGATCCTGAAACTAGAGATAGTCTGCTGTCTGGGTGTTTCCTTCCGAGGAGTTGCCAACTAAAGTGAAGAGGTCGAAGCGTGGGGAAAAAAGATGGTGGTCTCGTTCTTCGAAAGGACAGGTCATTACGCAACAATTGTTTTAGTGGATCGAAAAACAGTTACTGCAGAGTGGTACACTAACAATTGTTTGCCACTCGTCTTGGAAAAAGTTCTGGAGAAAAGACCTCGCAGTGGGATCCTCCTTCACCACGACAACGCCTCGTCGCACACCGCCAAGCATAATAATAGACTACTTGGCGATGTCAGACGTGGAATTACTGGATCACCCGCCTTATAGCCCCGACCTCACACATTGCGATTTTTATTTATTTCCGAAAATAAAAGAAAAACTTCGAGGAAAACCGTTTTATGGATGCCAAGGAAGCAGTGGCAGTGTTTCAAAATGCTGTCGAAGAGACTCCTAAGGATGAGTGGGTAAAGTACTTTTCTCAGTGGTTCCATCGGATGCATCGATGTATTGATGTAAATGGACACTATTTTGAAAAGATAAAATAAAACTAATAACTTGCTAGTTTGTTTAGTTTTTATTTTCTAAAGAACTTTCAGTGTCACGCTCGTATAGGCTAATGTTTCAACAGAAATTATTGGAAGTTAAGTTGTCACTCTTACTTTTCTATCTGAGTATTATTCACACTTAAAATGGTATAGCAAAAAGAGTAATCATTGCCCCAATTCTTTTGGATGACGTAAAATTAACTAAGAGAAATTCCAGTAAAATCTTGTCGATATCTAACAGATGTTAAGACACCTAGATCGGTGTCACTTTCGACTATATATCTAACTATATATATAGTGGATACTTCAACAGTTTTCAAAAGCTTTTAACTTCGAAGCCTACATCAAGTTGATAGAGCTACGTTACAGCTTTATTTTGATCTTAACACGAGTGGATCGGCTCACCTGAGGGAGGACAAGCAAGGTTTTAACAGAATACTAGTGTAAAATAGCAGCTTAATGCTGCTTCGTTTCGTATGGTATGTGTTGAGATCCATAGACCCTTTATACTACCATCAGGGGTGACAACGCATCGGCATTTTGATTATTTGCTAATCAAGGCCGAGCCGTGGTAGCTCAGATGGTTAACGCTCGCTGTAAATATAACAGAACGCAAGTAACCGGGGTTCGATCTCCGCCGGCACCAATGAAATTGTTAATTGCAATTTTAAGTGCTGATTTACCACGTGATCGGCGGTGAAGGAAAACATCGTGAGGAAACCTGCATGTCTGAGGAATAAGAAAAAAAATATTTCGAAGACATGTGAAGTTCGCCAACACGCATTGGGGCAGCGGGGGCGGACACTTCCTTGCCCTAAAACCCTCTCAAAAATGAGGGGAGGCCTGTGCCCAACAGTGGGACGTATATAGGCTGTTACTTTTAATTTTTACTAATCAAGGATATACATAGATTTCTATGAGCTACAGCATCCACACACCATCAGGTTAACTTGTGCTCGTGTGTCACTCGTATTCAATAAAAAAGTAAGGAACTTTTATAGGCTGATGATGATGATAAATTTTCAGAGTATGGCTGTACAATAAGGTGGTGAAACGTTTCTCCGAGGCGCGTCTGTACGCGGACGCGTTCGCACTGCGCCAGCGCATGTTGAGTTGCATACAGCACTTGCAGTACTACATGTGTGTCGAAGTCATAGAGCCCTCGTGGTGTCAACTCATACAGAGCTTGGATAAGGTATGAGAAATTCTAAAAAATTGTTCAATGTTTTGGTGCAAATACTTTATTATCAACCCTTCAAGCACCATAAAAATCCCATGCAGTCGCATGCGCCCGGCAAATCCCGAGCGGTCGCATGCGACCAAACCACCCACAGCACTTAAAACCATTAAAACTTGTATTTAGAGACTACTTTTCTATGAAGAAGTTTAGCATTATAAAATCTATACAAAATTTTCCATCCTGTGGTCTAAACAAAAGTCAGGCTTCATTACGAAAAGATTTTATTGTATTTTGATAACAAAAAAAAAACATACCAAGCGAATGTCGGCTGCGTGAAAATCACAATTATTTCAATATATATTACTCCAAATTATTTACGTAAAAAGATAAATTGTATTCACACAAAAACTTTCATTACAATTTTATTATAAAACACTAAACTAAAACACTAATAAAACAAATCTAAAAATCAACACAACAACATTCACGCGAAAATGGCGTATGAAATGAACGTAGATTATAAATAAATATTCATAGGATAACAGTTTTTTATTGCACTAGAGGATAGAGTTTTTCATATTGATTATATATTGCGAAATTTCCTCATAGAAAAGTAGTCTCTATATATAAGTTTTTATGGGTTAAAGTGCTATGGGTGGGTGCGACCTCATGAGACCGCTAGGGGGTTGAGAGGTTAAAATATATTAATAAAAAAACTTTTGATAGATTGAGGTTCAAAATTGTTTAAAAATGCGTATTTTTCCAACACCAAAGTAAGCATAATATCCTGATATTAACATCCCTATATCTGAAATATGCTCACTAGTTAGAAATAATATCGAATGGTTCCCTCAATATTTTCGCCCTAAAAATTTAAGACCAAAAATAAAACTATCCACAGTTACATCAAAATTACATATCGTAAACACTGGCCCCTATGCAATGTCAATAAAATATATAATAAAATACCAGAATATATCAGAACTGTTAAAAGCCTAAAAAAGTTCAAAAAGGAAATAAATACATATTTCACGAAAACGTTTTATTACTCATTGCAGGAGTTTTTTAGTGACTATATATATAGTATGATCTCGTTAATATTTAAGTTAATTGTAACTATTCATTACTTGATAACTTTATTAACAATACCATAATGTAAATGTAATAATAATAATAATAATAATGATTGCCAATATTTAGTTTTGGAGTGCCCTTGCAGGGTTCTTGTTTGGAACTATTTTTATAATTAAGACCATATGTATACAACAAGATTAGCACATAAATTGAATTGAATTGAACGAAATTGTTAATTGCAATTGGTATCGTGAGGAAACGTGCATGTTTTAGAAATAAAAAAATATATATTTCGAAGACGTGTAAAGTGGGTTAACACGCATTGGGGCAGTGCGGTGGAAACTTCCTTGCCCTAAAATCTTCTCATAAGTGAGGCCTGTGCCCAACAGTGGGATATATAGGCTGTAGCTGTGTGTTATATATGCGATTACTATTTATTTCATAATGCCCAAGTCGATCGATGTAAAAAGCTGGAAGAAGTTGGTGGAAATGTTATCAATATGTAACAAATTAAATTTCAGGTGAATAACGTAGATGAAGTTCTGGAACGCCACAACGATTTTCTGGAGTCGTGCCTGGGCGACTGTATGCTTACGAGCCCTCAGTTGTTGAAGGCTGTTACAACACTTTGCCTTGTTTGTGTACAGTTCTGCACTTTTATACAGGTAGTAAACAAATGTCATTATTGTGTTAGCTAATTTCATTATTTATTTTTTTGTTACGAAATAACACAACCTTTCACGCTTTTCACCCAGAGGCAGAGCCTACGTACTTAAATTGGGCACAATCTAAGCACACCTCTCTTACTTATTTTTAGTTTATATTAGACTTGCAACGAAAAGTATATTCGGCCACACGCCGAATACCGAATATTCTGCGGACTTTATGGCCGAATAGTTGATATTAGGCGAAAGTATTCGGCCGGCAAGGAAGGAGTGTTTATTCAAGCTGGGATTGTCGTTTACGAGAAGAAAAGGAGTAAACTGCTGCTTGAAAACGAAGAAAAATTAGTCTTTCTGAACCATTATCTTCATTTAGTTTTTATATGTGCTAAAGACAAACTGCAACTATATTATGGTTGTAGCACGAATGGGTCGGCTCGACCAGGGTAGGACCACGCTCTTCGAAACTTAACACTGCTGTGTTTTGTATGGTGAGTATAGAGATCTGGAGACCCTTTCTTACTGGAAACGAGGCATTCGACCTTAGTCCTCAGGGGTGACGACGCATTTGCGTATTTGGTTCTTAATCGGGGATAAATTTAGATGTGTATGGGACAGAACGTCCACTTACCATCAGGTAGATTGCGTGCTTGTTTGTCACCCTTATTCTATAAATAAAACTTACAGAAGACATTTATCTGATTGTTCTTTTTTAATTTTTATAATATGGAAGATCATTATGTACCTATGACTACTTTAATGATTACAAGAAAAAAATTATAAAATTAGTAAATATTTTGATTTTACCAAGTTAGTATCTGACTACAATAAAACCTCTTACTATTTGGCCCAATAGTACCCACATATTAGGTATTCAACCGAATAGGATGAAACTTGCCGAATAGGCCGAATGCTGAATAATAAACGAATATTCCTTGCAAGTCTAATTTATATTTTTATCTGTGGTATTATAGTTTTAGAATAAACAGGCTATGAAGTTTTACTACGTTATTGTTGCCTGTTTGGAGTCAGTTGCAGGTGTCCATGGCCTTTAACATCCACAGTGGCCATTTACCGTCAAATGGACGACTAGCTTGCTTGTCACTTTATTGTAATGTATAAAAATCTTTTAATATGGCACTGCTTCTGTATAAAATGCATCGAATTATATTACTAACATATAGAAGAGACATCCCGAACCAAAAGTTTGCTTCATTTTAGTAAGAGTTAGAACTAAAGTTCCCTGCACGCGCTAAAATAATTAGTTTTCTCGCGACCAACACCTCATAAGCGCCTGGGATATCATGGCGCTTACGCCAGGGATTTTTAAGTCGCTCCTATAGATTTTACAACGCAGAAGTGACACAACTTTTGTACCTAGTACAAAATAATACTCTGCCTTGTCATTAGATAAATAAAAGAAGTGAAATAACAGTCTCGTAGCAATTTAAAATAAACTTTATTTAATACACATTCTAAATAATTCAACACAAATTAATATTTAATTGCCTTTAATATAAGTTTAGTGAGCTTTTGGCGATTGCTCGTATGATCATTTGTTATCTTTGCCTAGTGGTGCAATCGAACAGTTGTATATAGATATAAACAATATTTTTTTTCTCATAGTATATGTACATAATTAGCAAATAACAAAGTAAGAAATATAAAATAATAAACACAAAATTTTATTGGAACTATATATGTAGAAACCACACTTACCGATATTATCATGGTGTTTTTATCGTATGGTACAGCAGTTTTCTTAAGATAAACTCGTCCTGTTTTTGTATAATGTTTATCCTCATCCTTTAAGTGCAATGAACATACATATTTATGAGGAGTCGATAGCCATGCTTCTTCATTCCGATTATTTTGCACAAATTTTATCCACGTTTTTCTTTTCTCATGACCCGGCCGTAGAAACTTTCAAAATTATTTAGGTTATTAGGTAAAAGTCACAATTTACTTATTTTACAAAATAATAATTAACACAACATATACTATTGACAAACTGAACAAAAAAATAGGTACAAATGTATGTTGCGTATCTGCGGCTTTTGTTTTCGTTACCCTATTATTAGTACTGCAAAATGGCGGCGGTCGACAGCCCGATTCTCGGAGCATTATAACGACGCGAAAAACTTTAAATCAAAGAGTTTTAAACGTTTTAATGTCTACTTACCGATGAAACGTTAAACCATCACTTTTTTTGATATTCTCGAGTGTTTACTGCAGTCTTTAAGAACACAACCAGACATTTTGAAGTTGTTATTTATGCGAAGCGAACACGACTCGACTGTGCGGACGTTGGACATTCACTAAACAGTTACGGTACAGGGTACCGCAATGCGTGGCGCAAAATCGTGCAAGGTGATGTCTTCTCTATACGTAGTAATAATACCTCAATGATGAGGTGTGGTTAGACACATACATCAGTTTTGTAATTAAGCTTTATTTAGGGCAACCTTATCCTTTCGTAGGCTGCACTTCATGATGTGCTTAAAAAATATTAATACATTATATCATACATTTTTGACCGCCTCGTTAGTCTAGTGGTCGAATCCGGGGCGGGCCAAAAGAATTAGTTACTAGCAGTTCGGAGTCAGGATCTATTTTTGTCAGTTAGGTGGTGTTCGGGAAGCACGTAAAGCCGTTGGTCTTGTTCTTGATTTCTCTCCGGTCACGTCGGTTTTCCGATCCATCGTACTATAAGAGCGTGGGAAAGGAAACCAATCTGTCTACTCAATTCCTTAAGTTCATATTTGCCTGTAGCATTTATATCTAGAAATCCTTGCGTTTTACATTGCAATAAAGAAAATTAATTTGTCTACTCCGTTCTTAAATTTCATATTTGCCAGTTAAATTTATTTTTATGAATCCTTACGGAAATGGTCCGCAATATAATATGTTTAAATGCAGGAAAATGCATACTTCGGTATCGGAATACATAAATTATATTCTTTATTGCATTTTGTAATAGAACCGTTTTATTGATTATTATGTAAGTCTTCTTAAATTGTTTCGTTTTAATGTTTTAACTTATTTTGTGAAAATTTTGGCACATTTGATTTGCTACACTAGGCACGAAGTATTTTCCCAAAATAAAACATTTTTTTATAATAATCTTAGTAAAAATAATTTATTAACAATATCAGAAGCCTCTTGATTTAGTAGTTAGATTTCTTAGATGTTGTATAATATTATGTACGTTTTCTTTATCAACACCTTTTCTTCTATAATATTTTATTGATATATATGCAATGTTAAGAATTAATTTATTTTGTATTTATTTAACGCTACCATGTTAATTGGCAAAAGGAGATGCACAAGTACTTCGTGGACGCAGAGCTTAACAGTATGCTTGGATCAACATACGACAATACAGATTATAGTGAGGTATATTTAAGTCAGCAGTTGCCAGTTTACTAGCACATCAGAATAAATAATTAACACGATCACTGCATTAGAGCACCATAGTCTTGCAATATAATAATAAATACCGTTAAATATTTTCTGTTTAGCCGTAACCAATAGTTATATTATCTATATACATCTCTTTAGTTTGTAAAAATGATTGTTATTTAAAAAGCGTATCGTACTTTCTGTAAATTAACACATATCGTCAAAAAATCCATTAGTTTCACACACATCGTCATATTGATAATAAAATTTATATTAAAACCACATAAGTAATGCTTCCATGTAGTATTTGTGTGAAAACTTTGATGTACTGCTTTTTTTATTATTGTTTCATGACTTTTCTCTTTTAGACTTTTGCGGTGAGTAACTGGTTGTTTTTTAAATCATATCATTCATATATTTCTTTCATACCAGTGTATCCATTTTATATTAACAGATTGTATAATTTGCCTAACGGATCAAATGATTTTAGTTATAGTTTGGTTACCAGATTATAAATTGTGTAGAAATGAGTTTTAATTGAATTGCACATAGAATGTGTATATATATTTATATCATTTTAGTAAAAACAATAACTAAGTTTAATGGGTTATATTGAAGAATGTTAAAAGAGTCCGAGGGACTGACGAGCGTTGGCAGGAAATCTATCCAAGTATGCAGAATTCAAGTACCACTGAAATGATTTTTTTTTTGTTTAAATAACGTGACCTCCACACTAGGATTTTCTTCTGTATCGTGGGGGCAGTATACATACATATATTTCACAAGGATAAACATCCAGACCCGGAACAATTACTTGTAGGCCGTACAAATGCTTGTTCCGAACGGGATTCGAACTCGCGGCACTAAGTGCTGCTACTAAGCCACAGCCACGGGGCCGTCGAACTGAATGAGAAACAGCATTACTAATGTATGGGTATCAACTTTGCTCTCATCAACGCGCTTGCCCAATTATGTTTAAAAAAGAACTACATATTAGAAATAAGGAGTAAGGTGACCAACCAGCCTAGATTTTGCGGCATAGTACTGAAAGTAGTAGTCTTAGGTCCGTATTCCTTTCAAAATTCTATTCCGTTCCAAACCTTCCATTCCGTTACGTTAATGAATACCATGTGTTAATCGGAATCAATTTAAATCAATCAAAATTCAATCGGAATTTCTTCCTTAAAGTTGAAAAGTTATTCTTTCACCAACCCCTAAAAAGTCTTAGGTCCACTGGATTTCCATAAGGATAAATAATGGACAAAATGGGACAGTGTTGACACATAAGACGTTATACGTTCTACTTATTGTAATAATTGAGCTGTGAAAACATCACATTCAGGACCAAATACCGGAATTATAAGCAAAGTTGGCCAGCTTATTATTAAAATTTTATAGTTAAGGAACGTTATAAAAATACGACTACGAGATTTCATGAATGAGATCGTAAACTATTACACAGTATAAACGTCAACCGGTCAAGGTGATCTCACATGATAAAAAGTAAATTTTTTTAACTTAAAAAAAGCAAACTACGTTCGTAAATGAATTCCTCTGACTTTATTTTCGTTTTAATTCCTGCAGTCTAAAGTCAGAAGTCCATCTGTATACCACCAAACCTGTGTTTTAACAGTGGTAGAGCCACGCGGCAGCTTTGCTGTAGCAAGTATGGGCCGGCTCAAACCGGGGTGGTACCGTGACCTCACAGAATACCGGCGTGAAGTGGAAGTTCTGCTTCCGCGTTTCGTCTGGTGAGTGCAAGTGGCCGGAGGCCCAAATCCCCCCCCCCCCCCATCAACATGGTAGCGGAATTAAATGATGATAGACTACCACAGGAGGGTACCACCACCCCTGGAGAATCCCTCGCTGAGCATCCACGACCATGTTTCTCCACTCCGTGCGAGCGTGGGTGCTCAGGCTGCCCTGCGTATTCTGGGGGGGGGGGGGGAAGCAAAATTCCGCTCAAGACTACAACTGCTCGGGGCAAACGGAGCAACAAGGTCAAGGCGACCCCTGCCACGCCGTCCGTGAATTTCTGCAATATCAGGGGACTTCACTCTAACCTAAACTCCGTCCACTACCATCTCGAGACGGCGAGGCCGGCTCTGCTCTTTCTGACCGAGACGCAGTTGTCCTCTTCGGCTGACGTCTCGTATCTCTCTCCTACCCGGGGTACAAACTGGAACACTCCTTTGTGCCTCGGGCTGGAGTTTGTGTTTACGTCAGAGAGGACATCTGTTCTCGACGCCTCGGCAGACTTGAAGGTTCGGACCTGTCCATCCTTTGGCTACGCGTAGACAGCGACGACCATCTGCGCGTCTACGGGTGCCTCTATAGGTCCCATAGCGGTAATGCCGAAACAGACCGACTCTTCGACCACGTCCAAATGGCTACAGATTCGTTGCTACAGCGGATCCCCTCCGCAGAGATCGTGATCCTCGGCGACTTTAACGCCCATCACGCCGAATGGCTTGGTTCACGTTTAACCGATCATACGGGGAGATCTGTTCATGATTTTGCCTTGGCATATGGTCTGACACACCTGGTTACTTCGCCTACGCGGATTCCAGATGTGGAGGATCATGCACCTTCCCTGTTGGACCTTCTGCTGACCTCTCACCCGGACGGATATCAGATTTCCGTCGACGCCCCTTTAGGCTCCTCGGACTATTGTCTTGTTCGGAGTGTGGTGCCACTCACGCTGAAATCGCAGTTGCATTCTGCAGGCTGCCGCCGTGTTTGACACTATAGGTCAGCCGATTGGGATGGAATGCGGTCTTTCTTTGCATCCTACCCTTGGGGGCGGGTTTGCTTCTCGCCGGACGATCCCAACGTTGTTGCGGATTCTGTCGCTGATGTGGTACTTCAGGGTATGGAACTTTTTGCTCCTTCCTCTGTGGTGCCCATTGGAGGCAAATCTCAGCCATGGTTTGGTCGCTCCTGTAAAATAGCATCATGCTATAAGCAGGAGTGCTACCAAGCCTAGGCTGACGCATCAGCGTCCCGGGATGTAAACACCAGCGCTCTAAAAAAGAAGTATAATTCCGCCTCTAGGTCCTTCAAAAGAGTCATTGCCAAGGCAAAGTCAGAGCACATAGGCAGAATTGGCGAGAAACTAGTTCGCCTTACTTCTGGCTGGAAGAATTTCTGTCAGCCGTCTCTTCCATCTCTGCACAGGGAGGACGACTCACTGGCCCATACCGCAAAGGAGAAAGCCGATTTTCTAGGCTCTTTCTTTGCGTCCAACTCGACTCTCGATGACGGGGGGAGTACGCCGCCGACCATCCCGCGGTGTGAGTGTTCCATGCCGGAAGTGTAGTTCACACAGCGCTCGGTTCGCAAAGCACTCCTCTCCCTGGACATCCACAAGTCGAGAGGGCCTGACGGAATCCCCCAATTGTGCTGAGGACGTGTGCTCCAGAGTTGGCACCGGTTTTAACGCGTCTTTTCCGGTACTCCTACTCCCTAGGCGTAGTCCCAAAATCATGGAAGACGGCTTTCGTCCATCCGATCCCTAAAAAAGGTGACCGCTCAGACCCGTCCAACTACCGGCCTATCGCCTCCTTGTTCTCCAAAACAATGGAGTCCATTGTAAACTGCCAGCTCATGAGGTACCTTGAGGATCACTAGCTGATTAGTGACCGCCAATACGGTTTTCGCCGTAGTCGGTCAGCTGGTGATCTTCTGGTCTACCTAACTCACAGATGGGCGGAGGCAGTAGAGTCCAAGTGGTAGGCATTAGCCGTTAGTTTGGACATTGCGAAGGCCTTCGATCGGGTTTGACACAAAGCGCTTCTTTCGAAGCTCCCATCCTATGGGCTTCCCGAGAAATTGCGCGATTGGATTTCCTGCAGATCGGGGCATCAAGGTCGTTGTAGACGGTGCAAGCTCCGATTGCAAGCCTATTAATGCTGGTGTTCCACAAGGCTGCGTGCTATCGCCAACGCTGTTTTTCTGCATATCAATGATATGTTGCAAACCCATAACATTCATTGCTCTTTACACCAGCGATTTTTCCGGACCGATACGACCTGGGGACAAAGAAGAAACCTTCAAGAAAAGAGCGTCCTCCATTCTAAAGGGCCGGCAACGTACCTGCAATTCCCCTGGTGTTGCGGTTGATCATGGGCGGCGGTAGTCACTTAACATCAGGTGAGCCGCATGCTCGTTTGCCCCCTCTTCTGTAAAAAAAAACCATTTTAACTATTTATGCTGCCACCAAGTATCTATCCTGTAGCTGTGTAAGAATATCCTAGGTACCTCTGGGCATAAGAATGCCGTAAGAGGCGAAAGAGGGAAACTGTATGTAACAGCAGATGGGCAGCAGCGTCTTCCTGATAATTACTTAAAATAATAAAAAAACTGCGGTTACCAACGCGGCACTCTATTGGGGAGGACTATTTTTAGAAGTGGACTCTATTGGATAGATGTATGAAGTAACTGTCCATTCACCTCTGTTTTCCGGTGTGAAATGTATGTAGAGAGAGCGAGAGAGATTGAGGCATTCGATCTTTTTCATCAGTACACTTCTTTGTTTGAATTTAGGTCATGATGTTCACGGATAAAATGCATTAACTTATCATTATATGGACTGGTTTGTTATATATTAATATAATAAGTAAAAAAAATATCTAAAATCATGTTTTTATATACCAGGGTGCGGATTGTGGTACAACTATGAGCGCATCGTCCGATTCGTTCGCTAGTTCTGTGTCACGCTATGGACGCCGCTTTACCGCAGCTTTACTGTCCATGCTGGCAATCATAGAAAGCATGGCCCGAGACAATAACACTAATAAACTTCTTAACATTTCCGCCAGGTAAATAAACATTTTATAATTAAACGTAATGATTCTAAATTTTATTATACATCTGGTACAATAATTATTAACGAAATTATAGATTATTTCTAGGCATTCCATCTTAGTGCTCAGGTGTGACATCGGCATTTTAATTCTTAATCGAGGATAGATGTAGATGTCTGTGGGCCCACAGCATGCACAGCGTTGCCAACTCTACGGATTTTTCTGTAGGTCTACGGAATTTTGTCTTCGTCTACGGAACTAGGGATTTTGAGGTCGAAATCTATTGGAATTTTGAAAAACAAGAAAAACATTTTTTATCGTGAATGTGAACTCAGCTGACGACCGACAATCAAAATCTTACGAGAAAATTGAATTTAACATATAATTCCGCCATTATGCTGTCTTACTATTAGAATAATAGAATACTATAATACACAATAGAAAGGCTGTCAACCTTATTTTGTACGAGGATAGGCGTCGCCGGGAGCACACATACAAGCAATAACGTCGTATTATCACTATTACAAACCCGATTCGCTGTGTTGACAGACAGATTTTAATACATATTAATTTGTAAATAGCTTGCAATTTGGCATTTCTAAATAATTTACATGGGAAATTTGGAAACGATTGTAACGTCAAAACACTTCTCGTGTTGACACTTATACGTGTGAATTGACGTGTTAGTAACATTTTAGTGGCTACACGGGCTCCGCCCACTCCCCCGTTCTATTATGTATGTATTATAGTATTCTATGATTAGAACTATATCAGTTTCGCAGGTCGATGTAGTACTTTTTTTATAGGAGAGGAGCAAACGAGCATACGGTTCACCTGATGTTAAGTGACTACCGCAGCCCATGAACGACTGCAACACCGGGGGAATTGCAGATGCGTTGCCAGTTTTTTAAAAAGGAGTAGGCTCTTTTCTTAAAGTTCCCTAAGTCGTATCGGTCCGGCGAAATCTCTGGTGGTAGTCGATTCCATAAGGAAGTTGTGCGAGGAAGAAAACTTCTTTTAAATCGCACGGTGGTGGACCGCCAGTCATCCAGATGGATGGATGGATTGGCCGCGTCGATTAAGGGCTAGTATTCAAAATAGGCGAGGCATTTTGAATAATGTAAATAAAATTGTATTCTGAATTAAGTTAAGTTAGAAAATTTCATATATAATCTATATAATTATCAAAAAGTGTATCATTGAATAAAACTAAATTTACGGATTTTATCGCGTTTATTTCAAACGTCGAATTAAAAATAAGTAAAAGTAGTGAAATAAACGCGATAAAATCCGTAAATTAAGTTTTATTCAATGTGTAGTGTTCGCGTAAATTTAAGAAATCGTTAAGTGTATCATTAATTTTATAAAAAGTTTTTGACAGAACTTATGACTTAAAATATACTTCGGTTTTTTACAGATTAAATTTCAATACATACTACGTCAAGCAATTGGAGAAATTTTGTTCAGACGATAAACTGCTGAGAGGTGAGAAGAAACAAGTTGCCTCCTAGCATAAAACTGTGCGTAAGCGCACCAATCTTGTAACCAGTGTCTAGTTGTAACCCTTAACACAGATGGACAGATAATATATTGAAATTTGCTTGAAAATCAAGAAATGCTATTCAAATTATCGGTTAGTAAAATATTCATGTTCTTCGAGGAAAAAAAAAAAGCATATTCTAGACGAAATGTGAAAAACTGAAGATTATTCAAGTTAGAGAGTTGAATTCACATGGTTGTTTAAAGTAAACCTAATAATATGCAATAATGCCAAACACATTTTATGATAAAAAAATGACTGAAAATATTTTATACTGTATGTGTTTGACATTTGAATTTAAACATTGTATTAAATGCTTCCTTAAATTTCAGTGACAATATACGAAATGCTTACAAAGTTATTATTGTGTATAATATTGTAACGTAACTTTTGTTCAATTTAAAATTTAATAAAATTTGACGCCACAATCAGATATCTAGTATATAGTTTATTCTTTTGTAGAAATTAATTTACTTGTGTCTTGAAATTTGTTTCGAAATAAATATTTCATAAACATTATACAAAGGAAACTAAGTTAAACCACTGTGTTAAAATCACCTTAAACAAGTTAATAGTATTTTATACTCTCATCCATTATCATAGTTTTATGTTTGAATGGGCCCTCTAATATTAAACAGATAGAAGCGAAGAAAAAAGTTGTAGCTTTTTCATAGATATCATAGTTTAATATTTAAATTAAGGTAAAGCTCCTTATTTGTTTGCATTAAGGTTGAAAGAAAGAGAATTATGAAACAAACATGAAATAAACAAAAGGACATTGCTCCGCTATCATATATTTACCGACAGCTTGAAAAAACCACCTTATGGATATTCTAAATGATGATTATTCTTGGATGAAATTAAATACGACCTGATAATTGTTTAAATTCTAAAATTCTTTCGGTTTTTGAGGTTGTAATTAGAATTATTTCATCAATATATCTATGCTAGCCAATCACAAGTATAGTAGACAGTTGTTAATTAATTATTTTAACATTATTGCATATTAACATATTTAAATAATAAAAATAATATAAACATATTTAACTAAATTGCCTTGAAACAAAAGAATAAATTGTGACTTCCACTTAGTCAAACTATGATCAAATAAGAACGACTAACGATCTTGTAACTCATTTTAACTAAATGATAATGATAAAAATATAAGTAATTAAAAAAGTTCGTTGTAATTATTAAAGAATGATCTGACCCTGTAATAATGTATTTTACTATTATTTTCGATCAAACATGGAATGGAAATAAGAATGATGTCGTGGTACCAGTCTTTAAATTGTTTTCGAGATTCTGAAGTGTCTGTTAGATTGTTATTAAATTATATTTGTAGCATGTAAACAGTAAGAATTATTGTATATGTTTAGTACGTGTTGATCTATATATAGGCCATTATGAGCAATGTCCTTTAATAATCCCATTGTTTATAAGCGCTAGATTAGTAATTGAATGTAGTAAATTAATAAAGAAAAGAAAGAATCCCGACTTTATTATCTCCCGTTTCTTCGTAGTTTCTCATTTGAAGAATATTGGGAGTTCAATCATATCAAAGAATGTCGTGTAATGTAACGTAGCAACGAGAAGTTAAATTGTAATTAATATTATTAATGTCAACGTATCTAGATTTATAATGCCTACTTTAAATTATATAACAATATGTAAATCTTATTGTAGAAAAATAATTGCAAGTACAAATTAATGGTATATAAATTAACCACAAAATAATTAACCTTTTTTATGTGACGAATTGTTTATGTTCATGGATAAAAATGCCATTTAATAGTTAAACAAAAGATTCCGTGCATGTATATTTTTGATAACAAGAAAATTATATTAATTTTAATCACATCAAAATATGATTTTATGTATAATACGCGTGTTTTAACAGTACATACATTACATCATAATATACATTACATCATAATAATTTTAAAATAATTAGGCGATGTTGTGATTAATCAAGGGTATTACTAGAAGTTATTAGAATCTCGAATTGTTAATAATAAACCGATTTCTCGATCGTAGTCCTTGCCATAATTGCATAGACTGTACCATTATTGTTTGAAGCCATGACACTTATTAATAACAGCACGTTTAATTTTAACTCGCCATAAATGTTATTTTGATTTTTAAGACTGTAGTCATTAGTAAAATAAATGTTACACGACTTATTTCGTAAGAAGCATAATTTATATCACAATAGTTCCTCAATGTATGTTTTACAAATTAAAAATGAAAATAATACATAATGCCAGTTTTTTGGTATTCAATAGTTCATCATTAGATTAATTTTATATTAGGGACATGAATATGAGCGAATAATATTTAAAGTGGCTCATTAACCATAAAACCACAAATTACTCGGCAATTCATAACTTAGTATTAGCGTTAAAACTATAGTATATAACATGTAATAGTGTTAAATATATTTTGCCATCCGGAAAATGCGGTAATTACATTGTCAAAGTTGTAATGTTTACTTACATCCCTTATGCTTATTCTAAAAATAATATTAACTACAATGTCTATCGACGTTAAAGTATCAATATTTTTTAGGTATAAATAAACCTTTGCCGAAAATTCCATGTCCAAATCTAATTTTCAAATAGAGGTAATGAATCTATTTAAATAGGAAACATTGATGTAACAAGCTTTAAATACAGATTCATAAAAGATACTTTGAACGAAAACGTAAGATAGGAGGTTATTAGCATTTCACTGTTTGGTTTGATAAAGAAAAATATCACGATACAAAAGAAATAGTATTAATTATGTAAGAAACATTTTCCCATTGCATGGTTAACATTGCATGTAAATAAATATATTTAATTCATATATGATTTAATTTGTCACAAATGTCCAATCCAATTGTTCAAATACTGACGATATTTTAGAAAATAAAACTAATTTGCACGACATTGTTTATTATTTCTTCCTTTTTACAAGCTTTTATTTAACTTCTTTTCCCTTATGTCTTCGGTTAAATATTAATAATAAATTTTTGAAGCATTTGCTGACATCTCATTAAACTGAAAAAGAGAACTGGCGAAACTTCATGTATTTCTGTTCACTAGAACTTTGGTCTGAAGTAATTTCTAAGCGCTAAAATGTTTTTTGTAGGTTTGTTCGGTTCCTTCACAAGGTTTTTTAAATTTTAAAACAAATCAATATACCAATGTAAAGTAGTAAAAAACGAATGTTAAGAAATGATATTTAAAAATTATTTTTCTTCCAAAACTCTGTGAATATAAATTTAGGAAAAATTACTTTTAGGTGTCGTATTGCGATTTCGAAGATGCATGCCTTCTTAATTTTCGATACAAAATTTTTTTTTATTGACATAATTCATTTCAATTACAAACGCCCAGTAATACGTAGGACACTCAATAAGTTTTGAGATATACAAAAAAGTTTTCCAGATACTAATAATATTTATTTTACATCCTTTCAAAATATTCTCCATCATTCTCTATACAAAGTTCCATTCGCCCAAACGAACTCTGAAACACTTTTGCCAGTCTTGATCTGACAGGTCGGAAATCGCTTCTTCGTACGCAGCCACGGCTTCTTCGACGCTTGAAAAACACTTGCCTTTTATTTTTTCTTATCTCTTGGGAACAAAAAGAAATAACAAGGAGCTAAGTGAGGGCTGTAGGTTGGGTGACTTAGAGTTTCCACCACCAGATTCCCCAATAAATGCTTTTGTTCTAAGGGAGGTATGCGAAGAGGCGTTATCGTGATGCAGCACGATTCCCCGAAGCCCGGTCTTGGGTCTTCTCTCCCGCACAGCTTGAAAAGCTTTGGGTAATGCAACTGTAATATACCATTCAGAGTAGACTGACCTACAATTTTCCAGCATTGACGTCGACAAATGTCCGCTCCGCGAAAAAAAACTAGATACCATTTTTTTGCCGACGTTGCGTGGTCTTTGCAGTTTTGTCGGTAACTGTCCTTCTGAGTAGACCCATACCGATTATTGCCTTTTATTTTCCTGAGCATATTGATATATCCATGTCTTGTCACCAGTAACGATTTCTGAAACACGCCTAGATGCCCCGTTTTCAAAACGTAGACACATTTACATGGCACCAATCCACACGAGTCTGTTTATCGCTTTCGGAGAGCAAACGAGGGCTCCATCGATAACAAAGCTTCCTCACTCCAAGATGTTGATGTAGGATGCTATGAATGCTCCCCGAACTAATGCCTACAATCTTTTTGGTGTCCGTATATGTGATTCGTGGGTCTTCTCGCACCAACGTTTCAGTTGTCTGTTTGCCCTAAAGATGACCAAAGAACCGGGGACCCGCAGTTATTTGGTCTTTAGGGTTAATTTTACCCCTTTTGAATTCAGCAAACCATCTAAAAATTATTCCCCTAATGCTGATTGTAACCGTTGTAAACTTAATTGTTCGGTTAAACCAAATTTAAAATCATAATAGATCATAGCGCGCAAAGATCTATTATCGTTTTAAATGAAAAGCGCGGGAAGCGTTGCAGGAAAATTAATAGAACTTTGTTTTTTTTTTTAATATTGAGCTTTTTGAGCTTGAGCAATTGGCTTATGGAGTTCTATTTTTAAATGAATTTGCTTTTTAGAAACATATAACACGGGTGCGTTCCATTTTTAAATTTCGAGCATCTCAAAACTTATTGAGTAACCTACGTAATATTGTATAGTGCCAGATAAAAGTTTGTCGTCATAAATTACCAGGCGTTTAGATGTGTGGCGTGACACAACAGTCGGTTATGTCTGTATTGAAAATCTTTAATTTAGTGGTTTACACGCGTTTACGTGACTATAAAATGGCTTGCCAGATGCCCGGGAACCCGGGATTGTCCCGGAATTACGTATCTTGTCCCGTATCCAGGAATTACACTTTATAATCCCGGATTTCGAATACCTACCACAAGTTTTTTTTTCATATATCTGAGGGATGCTAAACTTGCGATAGTAAT